TCCTGTTACAAGTCATAATGAACATATCGGCAAATTCTCATGACGACATAACTAACGGTCGTCTGATGAGCAACACGTGGCGTCAAGCGACCAACACTACTTGGCATGAATGTTACTTGCATGACATGCAGCCACTTGGCGGGTGGATCTTCTATAAATAGGCAAGTTAGTTCTTCATAAAGAGGTAGCATTTATTACTCTCTCTCTCTCTCAATTTCTTCTCTTCTTCTTCTCAAACACTTTCTGACTTTACCATCGGAGCGGTTATCCCCGGGATTAGCTAATCCTCATTTCCTGTGTAGGTGCTTAGCTAGAAGATAGGGTCTTCACGGATCCAGAATACGGGTTGCCGGGTCATTTCCGGAACAAATTTAACAGTGATGATAATTATTCAAACATACGAGTAGTACAGTATTAGTTGTGGGATTAGTTGTGTAATCAACAGTAAACTTATAAATTTTGGGATAGAGAAAGTTAAACGATTCCCTCTGTCAAATATTTATAATTGACTAAGTGAGTCTTTATTAAATTATTACTCGTACAAAATAACAAAACTGAATTGTCAGACCAATTTCCTAACGATACAGGCCAATTTAACTCTTTTGTAACACCAATTCTCCAAATAGCCTAGGCTAATTAAGTATCTTATTTCTTAAGAAAAAATTCACAACTTGGTCGAAGTATTACTCATACCAGGGTTTAGTTCACATTATTTTTAATTATTTCAAATCAGATCAGAAAAAATAAGTTCAAATTGTAAAACATAAATTCAGATGATCAGAAAAAATAAGTTATGACATATTTTGTCATTATATGTGTGGATTTTTATCGCTAAATATTTTTAATTTATAAAAAATATAAAAATTACATATTAAACACATTATTATGAATCTAACAAGAGCCAACTTGATATATTTAAATAAGTTCAGATTAACTCAGATTAGCAAAAAAAATATGAACTAAACAAACTCTTAATAGCTATTTTAAAAGTTTTCCTTACAAAAATACATCCCATAATGACTGACATGCTAATATATAATTAAACATGAATAATTTTTTTTTAAAAGTTTAATATTATGAAATTTCACATTAACAACTACTCCCTCCATTTTTTATTAAGTGCCCCACTTGCCAAAAAAACGACCGTTTTTTTTAGTGCTCCATTATTAAAAGTGGAAAACCCCCCTCACATTATTTTTCTCTTTTCCTTTTAACTTCACTATCATTATATAACATTTTTTCCCTTTCACATTTATTTTTGGTGGTCCCCATTCATATTTCTCTATCTTACTTTTCAAAATTTTATATTTTATTCTTTGACCTAAAACTATATGTGCCCAAGGGTATGAGGCGCTTAAAAAAGGGAGGGAGTATCTAAAGTTATATACTTCATATATATATATATATATATATATATATGATAATACTGTAATTGTTACTCCCTATATCCCTTATTTTTTGCCCCATTTGACTTTTAACGATCTCCAAGACACGTGTTCAAACGTACTTATCTCAAAATCTATACGCATAAAAGTTATACTCCCCCCATCCCATAATACTTGAGACGTTGGGTGGACACGTAATCTAAGAAAATTACAAGTGAGTCAATTTAAAATATTTGTTTATTGTATAAAAAAATTCTCTTTTGTATTTTTATATTGTAAGAAAACAACAAAGTGGGGTGGGAGTGGGGTAGACGAGGAGAGAAAATGTGCGAAAGTATTTTTTTATTTGTAGTCTTATTCCATTTAAGTAATGTGTCAAGTATTGTGGGACGGACGAAATTGGAAACTGTGTCAAGTACTATGGGATAGAGGAAGTAAAAATTTGATATTAATAAAATATACAATGGGTCGATTGTAATAAGATCCCACATGAATATATTATCACTTATGAATTAACGAGAATTCATGGTCAAAGTTTTATAAGTTTGACCCATATATGCAATGAGGCAAAAAATAAGAGACGGAGAGAGTAGTTTTTAATGCATTAATAAAGTGTATAGTCAAAGTTAATGTATATGAATGTGAAAAAAAGTCAAAGGGTATTAATTATTATGAAATAGAGAGAGTAAAATAATTGAGTTGGTATAATCAAGATATGAGCCAAATCTCATCTAAATCATTATTATTTTATCGATTCTGTAAAAGAAATTGTTTTTTTTTTCTTTTTTTTTTGGTTGTTTTTATGTTTTTCAATATAACTTTTGTTATTCGTGTAGGAGATGTCTAATTCAAAGTTTAAGATTTGGTAAAATCAAATCGACCAATAATTTAAATACAAATTAAAGTCAAAATATAATTATTCAATTTGTAACTCTTGTAAGGGCAGGCATCATGCATCACATCATAATATCAGAAAAATTTCCCTTTAAAATATAAAAAGACTTGGCTCTTGAAGTTCCAAAAGGTATTTAACCAAAAGGTTTTAGTTGAATTAATGAACTTTACATTTGATTATTATTCAGAAGTGTACCAACGAATGCCGTGTTGAAGAAACTATAAAAATACGCGATAGTTTTATAGTAGCTACAATACAATATTATAATCAGATGATTTTAATGTAGTTTTACGACTTTTGACTACCACAATTTATTAAAATGGATGGCAGAGATTATTTGTTTTTTGATTTATTTTTAATTAGTAATTTTAATTAAAAATAATTTTTTGATTATTTTAAATATCTTTATATCTTCTAGAAATTATTTTTTAATATTTTTGAAATTCTAGAATTAAATATACATATATATATATAATAATTAAAAATAAATAAAAAAACAAACAATCTTAACCGTCCATTTTAAAAAATTGTGGTAGTCAAAAGTCATAAGGCTACATTATAACCACTATAATTTTCTAATTTGAACCATACATTTTTATTTTTTAAAATCTCATCCATTCATTTGGTCGACTATACTTTGAAAACAATAATATATAAAAAATATCTTCTCTTGCTTTCCTTTCTCAATCCGTTGAAGTGTAACCTTTTTCAACGACGACACATGTAAGTGCATCATATTGATAAAAGGATTAAAAGGTTGTAAAAGTGTAAGGCTAAAGGACTACTTTGACCTCTTATTATTGCATATGATTTCGCGATGGAACCACCTTAGACTTGTAAAGTGGACTCACTCTTGATGATGGGTAAAATCAAATATTACATAGTCTCGACCCGTATATGCAAAGTACAATCTTTTTGATTCACACTAGTAGGCCACCATTAAATTGAATTCGACCATACTTGCCCTATTATACATATGTTTAAAGATGTCAATTTAGGTGTCTGGACCGCGTCAGGTCTATTTCAACTTTGAGTCATACATGCTAAATTATTATGTCCATACAAGTTGAATTATGAATTAAGTTTTGTTCAGGTCGATTTTGAGTCAGTCGGATCAGTTTTTGACACCTCTAACTATGTTTGTTTTAGTGGTAAGCTAAAAATTATTATTTCTTAGCATAGAAATAATGATAACATGTCAATATAGGTAGCGAATGATTAGGCAACAAAATCCTATTAGATTTATTTTAAAAATATAGATCAATAGCTATTCCTCACAGGTTGGTTGGAAGGCCAAACCTTTTTAAAATAGCCATAAAAAATTGAAATATATTCACCAACATGTAAATAAATTAAACCCACACTCTGTTAGCATGGTAAATCGATGGTGTGAAATTAAAATCCACAAACATAAAAATATTACTACATAACATCAATGAACTAGTAAGATCCTATGGATAATTGGATATAATGTGTTTGAATGAAAGGCTCGAACTGATTGGAAATTACTAGAGGTCGTGAACCCAATAGTGAGTTCAGAGTTTTATCATATTTCTCTAATGATTTAAACAGCTCATTAAAGTCATACATCCAATTCTTTGTAACACTTCAATGAACATAGTAAGCCTATCTCCAATAGGCTTAGTAAAAGTTTGAATCATAAAAACCTTCAGTATTCTTTTCGACTTTAAGCCCTAATGCTTCACATTCATCTATTTGTTCATCAGTTGTTAAGATATCCTTTGCCGATTTTCTCAACTTTTGATAGTACTCGCCTTCTGGTGGAGGCATTATGAAGTCGAACAATGACGTCTTCTTCATATCCCTTAGTGTTTTGAATATATCGTCTGTAATGAGTGCTAAGTGTTGTACTCCTGGACCGTTGTTGCGTTGTAATGAGTGCAAAGTTTCCGGGATACATATATGTCTTTAAATCACTTTTTTACATGAACCAACGATTATTATAATTGTTTGTGTTCCATGAATCCATTTTATAAAGAGAAGGTATTGGGAGCGGCAAACAGCACCAAAAAATTCGTGCGGCAAGTATATATATGATATGTAGTATTTGGTGGAGGATATGTATTATTTGATAGAGGATATGTACAACTTGTTAGAGGATATGTGCTATTTGATAGAGGATACATACAATTTGTTGGAGGATATATATTATTTGTTGGAGGATACGTACAGTGTGTTACCGCACGAATTCTTTGGTGCGGCTTGCCGCACCCAATACTTTGTGTTTTATAAATCTTGTATGTACTACTGGCAGTATTTTATTTTTGTACCCTTAGACCAAGGCTGGAAATTAGCTGAGAAGTCAGAATTATATCCTACTGTTATTTTCTCTGTTTGGTTCCCTTTCGTTTGATTTTATTCTTGTTTTTTTAATACTAATATTACTGTTAAACGAGTATACACAAACTTTTGTTGTTACTCACAGTATGCTAAAATAATTTGGCATACTTCTAGGTGGCACTCTTGTCAGATTAATAATCTAGTCAAATTTCTTCTCCTTACATTGAGTTGTAATAGTAAACCAATTAAAATAAAAGCTAATTAGATATCATTGGCAACAAACTTTTTACGCCAAAAATTGTTGGTGCGTGGTAGGACTTTTATTAAGGTAGGATAGGATTGCAATATTACAGTTCACGATGACAACAAAATTGACGGGGCGCAAATATTGTGCTTGATTTTCACCACTTTTGTATAGGACAGATATTTTTAGTTGCTACCACCTATCCAATTCAATGATAACGATTAAAAATAAACCTCATCATTTTAACCATTAATCTAAATTAGAACACATTCAAACTACTGCCTTAGCTTTCTAATCCGTTGAGATATATAATATTTTTTTTATTGATACCCTAATTATCTCACCAATTTTTCCTAATTAAATTTCTTGAAAAGTAACCTAATAAACTTTTATCACCTCTAAATTATAATGCAACCAATATTCACCTTATCAATTTTGTCCCTCTTATTTACTTTCATCTATCAAGTTCAATGTAGATCTTTATCCGAAACAATATCTCTAATCTCACCACCAACATCATTAGAAACAACTGCCTTTGTTATCCCTCCATCACCGTCACCATCCAACGCCGCGGCCCCTTACAATGATCCCTCGTACGCTCTCTCACCAAGTTCCACCCCCATCGCCATGCAAGACGCAGATGGGGATCCCATTGATCTCCCCATCACCTTCAACCCCTTTGACCTCAACCATGATCAACAAGAAGAATCATCAACCACCACCAACACGGCGGTTAATAATCCGGACGTAAAGAAAACTTGTGATGCCACGGATAATCCCGACCTTTGCATTTCCTCCTTAAAGCCATTCCTCATGCATAATAATAATGATGGCAGTAAAAAAACGGATACGTTCTCTTTACTTGGGATGCAAGTTAAAGCGACGCAACAAGCCACGCAACTTGCCCTAGCCTTGAGTACTAAGAAATTAGGGCAAACGGATAATGATATGGATGTCCTTAGAGATTGCAGGGAGATGTATGATAATGCTTTGGATAATTTAGATAAGGTTATAAAAGCTCTTGAATCTAAAGATATTGGTACTATTAATAGTATGCTAAGCGCCACGATTTCGGATTTTGGTACATGTGACGATGGAGTCAAAGAAAGTGGAGGTACATCTCCCTTGGTTGGTTATGGAAACAAATTGACTGAATTGGTTAGTAATTGTCTTGCCACGGTTTCTCTTATTAAGGATGATGGTGCGACGGCATGATATTGATCATCATCTGGTTCCTCTCCGGTTTCTTTTAGTTATCGGAATAATTTTTACTCTCAATACGACATTCAATTTACAGGATGGAGAATTTTATTTATTTTTTCTTAATGAGATGTTGTGATTTGAAGATGAGAATTGAAGGAAAGAATTGGGGATAATCCTATCCAAATTAAGTACCGTGTATTTTATACTTGTACGTCTAATCAATGAATGAAGTCTAATTCTAGTAAGGTTAAGATTCACAGTGTCAATTTTTTCTTTGTTATATGTATTTCTATAAGGGTTACAACATTGACCTAATATACAAAATAATCAGGTTCAAGATTTTAAAATTAGGCCTTTTAATTTATTCATTGTTTATAATATTTGGCTTTGGTTAGAATTTACAAATAATTACATATACATTCAAAAAGAGTCATTATAAAAAAAGTGTACTTCAAAAGAAGAGAACTATGGATGTGTAGGTGATATCAGAGGCGGAGGATCAATCTTAGTTGGGGCAAGTAGCTGCCAAGGCACTCCTCTCACCCCCCTCCCCCCCCCCCCCAACCCATATCTACAATTGGTTATAAGTAATATGAATGATGCATGCCTAGTGATTATATTGTGTATTAAAAATTTGTCATAATAATGTTTTTATTATGTCTAATATTAATAATTATTTAATGTAGTTATTTTTGAACAAAAGATTAGGGGATCAAATTAAACCTTGTCCCCTCTAACATTTCTACCACTAGGCGATACGGACAAAGGTAAAATTAAAGGCTTAGTACAATATATAGAAACAAAGAAAGTAGGGCTCATTGGAACCAAATCCAAGCTTCGCTCGACGCATCATCCGCTTTCTCGAGCTTCATGGAACCAATTACCCAGACCATCTGTAGTGCTAACATCTCCTCTGGCAACAACTTCGCATCTGTTGGTGCTAATTTTGGAACTATGTAATTGTACGTTGTATATAATTTTTGGATGGGATAGCTAGCTACTACTACTCCATCCTTAATTATATCCTCAACTACTATTATGGCTCACTCATACATAGTTAACATGCATCTACACTGCATGTATGTATGTGCTTTAATTTGTTAGTTAGTTTCTTTCCTAGCTAGCTAGCTACGTACCATCCATGCATGCATGCACATGTATGTTATATATATTTACTACTTCAATAATAATGAGCCCTACTTTATTATTAGTTGCATGCTTTTATCCGTTTGTTTCTCTTTACTGTACTTAGTCTCTAATTTTACCTTTGTCCATGAATTTGGCTAGACGTTATTAAACTTAGAACTTTTACTCATAAATACAAGTTGATGCCTCTTTCTCCACTAGCACACAGTCAGCAGGGATAGGCTGTGTGTGGAGGGATAGGGATGAGGTTTGGTGTGATGGAATGGCCATTCATGTTGCTTGCACTTCTGCTGTTTGGGGAGAAACTCTTGCCATTTTATATACTCTAAAATGGGAAAGAGCTAGGGGATTTGGGGAGGGTTACATGATCTCAGGCTGTGAGAGAGCTGTTCAGGGTGTCACTCTTAGCTCTAAAGTGTAGGATGAGCTCACTAATGCATATGATGAATGCAGGGAACTCCTCCAGCAGCTAGACATGCTATCATTAAGGTGAGGGAAGCGAGACCAAGTGCGTGAAGCTGATCGAATTGCTAGGATGACTAGACAGAAGCTGGAGATATCAATCGCCTTTTGAAGGATTTACCCAAAGCTTAGTAGGGATAAGCCTCTAGATAGTCTAAATGATGTAATTTTTGCTGCTAGCAGCCTTGTCCCCTAGTTCTTTGTATATTGTACTGCTAACTATGTTTTTGGGTTCCTAAAAAAAACCTATGTTTTTGGGTTGTAAACTCTGAACTCTGGGAGGCCTGGCCTTCACTGAAACTGTTACTACTGCTGATGCTTGGTTAATGAATGATATGATTAAGTGAACTCTTTTTAACCAAAAAAAAAGGGCAAGCACTTAGACATGTTGCCAATAGCTACCAATTCACTTTTGTTTTCTCCATCAATTCTGATTGAAAAATATTTGTCTATCAATTCACTTTTGTTTTGCATCACATTGAAAAATTTGATATGCTTCAGTAACACAATTGTGGGAAACTGGATAATTAAAAAATTAATAGATAAACCTAAACTGATTCACAGCAAAAAGAAAGAAGAAAAAAAAAAAAATCTCCGTATTTGTATGTAGCTAATTAAATGGTTAAGTGCTTAGCTTCTAAGTAAATAGTTTAGCTAGTTTTGAAATTAGAATTTTCAAATAGTCGTTTTGACAAATAGTTTTGCTAAACTAGCTAAATTGATAAAAGATCTATCATGCGTTTTGTGTGTGGCTAGCCACATACATCATGTGACCGCTTGTAAGAGAATGAAGTAATATCCCTATAACACATACTGACCAAATAACCCTTGTAGCACTAACGAAGTAACCCCCGTGATGGTTGACCACATATAAGAATTTGTGACGATCTATTATATAATGCATCAAGTTTTCATACGTGAGATAATTAGTGTGTATAGATTTAACTTTATAACAAAATTTCCATACATAGTAATATTAATAGCATCGTTGTTTGTCATGTAATTTTAGTAATGTAGTAATTCTATTGATGGGGAACAGTATTCAATGGCTACATAAAAATTATGACCACTATATTACTTTTGTTCTAGACCTTTTATTTTTAAGGAGGAGATCTTATCCATTCATTTGTTTAACCATGATTTTTTTTTTATTTAACCCAAAGCAAAATTAATCTGAATAAAAACCGCTTTTAGCATTAAAAAAAACACTACTAATTATTCTCCATTGATTCATAACTGCTTCTCCATTGACGAATAGTTCAACCAATATTTACAGCCTTCACAGGTGGTTTTGATGAGAAATTGGAATTTAATTTCCATACACAATATATAGAATGTTAGGAGTTCGATGAGATCATATTAATTATAAATAGCATCAATAAATTATTCATGGTGGCATAAAATCACAAAAAAAGGAAGAAAGGTGAGAGGAGATTGAAAGATTGAATGGTTGCCTTTCTCATTGCTTGAGTGTAAGATATATACACAATTACAAGAGATAAACTAGGAAACTAACTAGCTACAAACTAGGCATAAGATATATATATTTCCAAACTAAATATATACACTATCAATAGAATATATTAACATATATTCTAACAATCCCCCGCAGTCTTAGCGGGAGGATCACTGACGCTGAAACTTGCACGAAAATCATCAAACAAAACTCGTGGGAGTCCATCTCAATGTGTTTGGTGCGTTGATGTTGCATCGGATTCCCAGAGAGGTAGATGACACTCACATTGTAACAATAAACAAGGGTAGCTTTCTGAATCGGACAATGTAGCTCTAGTAACAGATTTCTAATCCAACAAGAATTAGATACCACATTAGCAACCCCACTTTGCACTAGAACGTGATAACGTTGGCTGTCGTTTAGAAGACCAAGAGATCAGATTGTCACCAAGAAAAACACAATAACCTGAAGCCGATCGCCTAGTATCGGGACATCCTCCCCAATCAACATCAGTATAGGACACAAGTTTATCAATAGAGGAATTAAACAGATGCAAACCGTAGATGAAGTTTTAATTTTGGAGTATCATGAGGATTAGAGAGTTTTGGCAAATGAAGTTTTAATTTTGGAGTATCACGAGGATTAGAGAGTTTTAATTGATGGAATTTTGGCAGATGAAGTTAATTTTGGAGTACCATGAGGATTAGAGAGTTTAGAGAGGAAGGGAATATTGCAACAGTTTGATTTTGAGAAAAAGAAACCAATATTTTTACTACGTAATTAAATAAAAATTGTTCTAAATCAACTTAATGAATGACATGGAATTATATATACTGACAAATGTATGACCAAGATTTTATAATTACAATGGCTATAAAATATTGTACCATCGCAAAATTTTCCCCTATTGACGAGTTTAAGTAAATTTGGAGCCGATCCCTTTATGTGCAAGCACCCACGTACCACTAACAACATTTTCAAAAGCCTAAGGCTCGTTAAAATACAAAAGAAGAAAGAACGCAATAGAATATTATTCGAAATATTTATTTATTAAAGAGGAATATTTGAAATGAAATGATATGAAAAGCAAAGGGAATATAAAATACTACCTCAATTTCACATTATATACAACAATTTAACATTTTTTGCGAGATATAAAATTAGGTATATATTATTTGGTTGAAAAAAAAAGGAATTGAAAATTCCTGAAAACGTATGGGAATTCAATTTCTATGTCAACCATTACTTTACTTATTTTTTTTTCCCTTTCTTTCTTTAATTTTGTTTTATCTCTCAAGTGTAAATTTCTACAATAAATAGTGCACCGCAAAGCATATTTATAGTGGAGAACCGGAGACACCTTATCAATCAAATTTTCAACACTCAAGGTTAGTTCTCTTTATCTCGCTTATTATTACTCCGTATCAGTTTGCATATGTTCATTTCTATGGCTATTTTTCATTTTAAGTAAACATATTTGTGTTGCTATATTATTGCTAGTTTTATCATCATATCATGTATGTCATACCATTCTCATGTGGTATTATTATAAATCATTAACTAATTTATACCATTTATCTTACTCAAACTAGAGTTGTGAGTTGCGACCCATGAGAAGAGAGAATGGGAAAGGCAAGGGAGTAGATGATTGTACAACTGTTATTGATGTGTTATTACAAATTTTTCTTACTATTTTTACTAAAAAAAATGGAATAAAATTATAGGAATGACGCATGCCTTTGAGTTTGTGGTAAGGTATACTTATTAGGTATATAGACTACATGGATTTTGATTGTTTAGCTGGTAATAAGAAGACGTCCATTGAACTAGAATTGTACACAGATTAAACTTAGTTTGGGTTAGCAGGCTATGCTCGCTCTTTGAAGTGGTCGGCGAAGAAGAGTAAGAGGTCGATGACATTTTTACCTTTTAAAATGCCCATAGTGAGATTTGAAACCACAACTTCAAAACTAAAAGGTACAAATAAACCATGCTAATAATAGACTGAACTTAGCTTAAAATAGACTAAACATTGACGTGTTTTTTAGTCATTTAAAATAGAATTATAAATGTTGTTGAAATTTATAAACATTATTTTAAAAATTAATTAATTAAATATATTAATGATCAAATACAGTTGCATATTGGAGCGAAATTTAGCGTCGAGAGACATGGCGAACAGACAAATAGAGGTGGAATATGTAACAAACAAGAAAGATGGGATGCAAAAAGCAGAGCAAAAGGTGATAGAAAAACCAATAAGGAACAGTTGTCAAGGACATAAAGCTGCGTTGGTTGGGATGAGTAATGAAACCAAGGATGTTGGGCTGATGTTTCTCCAGTACAATGATTGGTGTGGAAGTGTGGTTCCTTTTTATCCTACTGGCATTAGCCCCAAATCTTCTGATAGCTTTGGCCATTTGCCGGACCCTGCTTATGGCTCCAAGGGCGCGGTAGTGTACTATGGCCAGATCAATCAAACAACTGAAGGTGCATGGCTCTTGGCTTGGTCTGCGCCAGTCGTTACCGGTGGCTCGGTTCCTCCCAACAACCAGGTAATGTATAATCAGAATAAGATCGAGGTCATAAAGGTAGTTTGATCGATCTGAATTTGTTAAGTTTTGTAGTATTCTTGTTGGAATTTTAACTCTAGTCCCTCATTATCTCTATATAAATATCTGATACGGTATCAAATTTTCTGGTATGATTTAATGTTGTCTGATCATCAAAAATAAATAAGAATAAGGAGAACAGAACAAATCTTATATCTAAGATAGTAAAACTCAATACGGTAGTTAACAGCCATTGGCTGATTTTTGATTTATTTTGAAAATCTATTATAGTCAATAAAATATCGACTAATGAAAATTAAGTATAGTGCTTGATAGTCATTTTAGAGGCGACTATAATAGAATTTTCAAAATTGCTGTTGAAGATTATCTATTATTCAGGTTTACGTTGAAACTGGCAATAAAAAGGACTTCGAGAACATAGATTGGAAAGTGATTCAAGAGAAACTGGATAAATCTGGCAAAGTAAGTAATTGCACGGACCAAACTACTGGATGCACGGCCGTTGCTGAAATCAACCCAAACGATGACTCTGCTTTGATTCTTGCAACGTTCATGTGATCGAGCCTAAGCGCAAGCCAGGTACTCGGAGAGTGCGTTACTAGCTACAAGTATGCTACTTTCTGCAACAAAAACGTTGATTATCAATTTATCACTAATAATGTACGAAGTATACGGTACTAGTAATGTTATTAAATAAAGGTATTGTATGTTTAAAAATAAAAAAAGGTATTGTATATCGATCATAAATTTCGAATACTAGTTACTAGCTACAGCAGTACGTCTATCTTTTAATGCTTTGGGTTCTCATCACTTTTAAAATATACTCTACATATTAATTACATTAAAAAAACAAAAAAAAAAAATAAAAAAAATTAAAGTACGCATTAGCATTATTAGGGAACTTTATGTGGTGACCAGCGCAGCGGATTCTAAAGTATATCAAAGGACTTCAAAAGAGCATATATAGAATACGCCACAAAATCTTTCATTATGCTTGAATTTAAAGTCCAACTGATGCCAGAGCTCTAAGAGCAACTCCAATAGTTTCATTATAAGGTTTTGCTTGTAATTTAAATAAAATGTCTATTAGCTATATACTAATCATTATGAGAATAATAAAAAAAAAGCAATATGTAAGCTACTGTAGCCCAAACAAGCTACATGCTTGATTAAAAAAAAAGACAAGTAAATTTCATTCATATTGTGACATATGTACAACTATTAATTTTTTTTATATTTAATTTTTTAAAAGCTACAAAACCCTTGTAGCTCACCATTGGAACACTTCAATTTGTAGCCAAAAAGTGTTGTAACTTAAATATTGATATGGCAAAGCAAGCTACATTGCCCTTGTAGCTTATCATCGGAGATGCTCTAATGTGCTAGATAACCAATTCAACCAAACGCAAGTCAAGTTATTTGTTGAAACATATCCTTCTCAAATAACACATATAAGTGTCCCACATTGACTATAATTGAGATACATACAATTAAGCCTTTATAAGGCTAAGGGGTTATTCCTCTTATTACCACATGGTTGGGTTCAAACCTTCTTAGATTTGTGAAGTGGACTCTATCCCTTGGTGACAGGTGCAACCCTGACCATGTACCTCTTTAAAAATTAAAAATTAACCCCTTAATCAAAAATTAAACCTGCCGCCCAACCTCTCTCTTTTTTCATTCCCTCCTCATTAAATCCTAACCCTAACCCTAATTTCCCTCTCATCCTCTTACTTCACCACCCCTCGAATCACTTCAACCAACCCCTTACACACACACACACACTCTCTCTCTCTCTCTCTCCCTCTCTCTCTCTTTCTCTCTCTCTCTCTATCTTTAGGATTTTCTCCAAAACCCTTTAGCCTCATCAAATCCAACACACCAACATCACAAATTATCTCTCCTCGCACTCTCTTTAACAACAACACTACTTACGGAGTTTCTTGCAAACAATGGCCATGGCTTGTGGTTGTGGTTTGAAATTTTGTTCGAAATTTTGTCGTTAAATGTAGACACATCACGACTATTATTTTTTGAATTGTCTAGGCATGACTTGTTTGAGTACGAGACACACTGACACGACACATGGGCCAACATAAAAGGGCTTGTGCCACCATTTGCACCATATTATACCCAATATGTTATAAATATTCTCTTCATAAAAATATAATTTGGAATTTTAAAAAAGTGCTTTTTAATATGTTCTTATCACTAAAGTAATCTTAATGTCTTCAATTTTTATAAAAACAATATTCCAACTATTGGGGTACACGTTAACAAAAGAAATTTACATAAATTCTCTCTCTCTATATATTTTTTTAATTTACTGTACTAACTTTTCTTTTCAAAAAATAAAAAAAAATTAAAAAAAAATACACAAAAAATTATATATTACGTATATATATTTTTACAAAAAGAAAAAAAGATTACATTAATAAAAGATAGTCAAACGACACTTACAAACAATTTCTAAGAAATCTAAAATTTCAACATAAGTGCATAACATCTTAGAACATATTACATCATAGAGTCAATCAACAATCGTCTTAATTAAAAAGTTTTTCTAAAGCAATACAATATGTGAGTTGGTTCTAATTTGACTTGAAATCCACTAATGCGTAGTTGTTTAATTGGGTGATAATACTCTTATGAAACTCTAGATCTTCAATCCTCATTAGACGAACAAATAAGGAGTTTAAACACAATAGAATAACCACCATCTCAAGATGGTATCTAGTTATTGAAATTAATTAATAAGTTTTTGGTTCTTACCACCTGTAAGAACACCAGTGGAAACCATCAAATTAAGATTCATAATTGAGACCAGGAAGAAAAGAGATGAAGAAAGAGAAAGAGAGAAAATAGAGAAAAGTGAAGGAAAACCTAAAAAATAATAATAAAAAAAAACCAGAAAAAATCTAGTAATGGAAGCTAGAAAAACCCTTCTAAATGAGAAATCAGAAAAACCCTCTCAAGGAAAGCCCTAGAGGGAACTGAGAAAAAATGAGGTCAACTAGCTTAATTGACTGATGAAGAATTTTAGTTTAGTTTAGGAGAGAAAAAATGTAAAATATATGTATATGTGACTATTTTGTTTAGTTTATTTACTGTTGAGTTTTTTACGTATTGTTTAGTTTATTTATGTGAGGAAAAGTGGTAGGTCTCATTTATAAGAGGAATGCCTCCCTTATACTATGGGCTCACTCATACATAATTAACATGCATCAATAGTTTATTTATGAGAGGAAAAGTGGTTGGTCTTATTTCCAAAAATAAGTTATAAGTGTATAAATTAAAAATAAAACTTCTAGAAAAGGAAATTTAGTAAATTAAAAGAAAACAGTGGGAGTACTTCATAAGGCAAGTGCTTGCTTGGTTAGACTTCATAGCATCACACTGCAAGCTTCATTCAATTCTGTAGTCTTTTCATGTCTTCAGCAATTGTTATGAATGGCAAGAAGGGAAAAAATGTTGATGAGACGATAGAGTTAGCAAAGACTATTATCGCCTCGTCAAAAAGTTATGTTATGAGTCAATTGCAATATTTGCAAAACAGTGTGGTCGTCTCTCTTAGCAACTCCACCCTTGCGAGTATCCGATTCTCCCGATCGAAAGATTGGTATGGGATTATCGTTCCGGATCCGGCAGCTTATCCTTCAGTCATTCCTTCTAAGGATTCGGCTAGCTTTATCCATCACGGTTATGGCTCCCAGGGCGCAATAGTGTATTTTGGCACCAACAAGCTTGGAGTTCAATGTGTTTGGCTTTTGGCTTGGGCTGCACCTACTGATCCCTCTAGTACTCCAAATAGGGTAATTTTTGTACATTTGTACTTGTAATTCTTTTCATTTATCAATATTTTTCTTTCTCTTCACTTGATTCTTACAAAATTAAATTTATTTTTTACTAACTAAAATAATAAGAAAAGTGCTATAATAAATAATCCTAAAAGCTATGTATAAGAAGCTAAACGAGGAAAGTTTAAGTAATTTTTCTGATTTTATGCGTGATTTTGTCATCCATTTATAAACTAATACCAAATAGATAAATAAAAGGACATATAATGCTTATTTATAGCCTTAATGACTACATACAACATTACCCTTGAAATAAACTCTATCATTTTTTGTATTTGTATTGAAGCACCTATGCTTTCCTTATATTCTCCATTTTTATTTCTTCATTCTACTCATTTAATTTGGCACCAATTAGCATATTTTTTATAATTTTTAGGGTATTTTCATTTTTACCACCTTCAAATAACCACTTAATTGAATTTACCACCTCCAAAAAAAAAAAGATTTACTTTACCACCAACAAAATTTCCAAAAAATCGATTTTACCACCAACTAACGGATTCCGTCCACGAATCCGTTAGTAGGGCCCACCTTTTTGACGTTTCTTCTTCATCTTCCCCGATCTTCCGTGTAAACCAACCAGCAACGAAATCAACTACCTCGGTTGGTCGGAATTTCGTGTGTGACTAAGGAGGGGCCGGAATTTGGTGTGTGGGTTAGGGAGGTGGTCGGAATTAGGTGGTGGTTAGGGTTTTAGGAGTGCGAAATTTGGTGGTGGCTAGGGTTTTTAGAGTGGTCGGAATTAGAAGGGGATTTATGGGTGGTCGGGATTTGGTGGCTGCCAAAAACTAAGAAGCCAAATCACCAACAACAAGGATACAAATCGATTATCATCAACATTTCTACAAACCAAAGCAATTAATCCATTACAATACCCACAAATCGAAACCTCAAAACCAGAAAAAGAATTGGGTAAATCAAACCTTGTCAATCGTTTTTAGCATCAAGCTCAGAACCCCACTTCAATGGAGTCGATTCCAGGTGACTTCCATGGTTGAGGATAAGAAGACGACGGTCAGAGGAGAGAGAATGAGCGAGATGAAGTCTGATTAAATGGGTGTTGTTGATTGATTAAGGAATGCCAAGCCTTGGAAACGCATTTGAAGCGAAGTAGTGATTTAGTGGGTAATCGAAAAGAATGGAGGTGATTAACTCCATTGGAAGAGACGCCATTGTTGTGGCTTTCGAGAAAACAGAGCAAAAAAATAAAGAAAAATTGGTGGAAAGGTGGTTGTGGCTGTGCGGTGCGGTGGTGGGGCTGGTCGCGGTTAGGTGGTGGGGGCTGGTCGTAGCGGTTAGGTGGTGGGGGCTGGTCGTGGCTGGTCGGCGGTGGGGGTCCTGACGGTGGCAGCAACACCGGTTGATTAATGGGGATTTTTTTAATTTTTTTTTAAAACTTACCCAATAATATGGCGACACGTGTGCAAGGTAGGCCCCACTAACGGATTTATGGACGGAATCCGTTAGTTGGAGGTGATTGGTGGTAAAACTGATGTTTTATTTTTTTATGAGGTGGTAAAGTAAATCTTTTTTTTTTGGAGGTGGTAAATTCGACAAAGTCATTATTTGAAGGTGGTAAAAATGAAAATACCCTAATTTTTATTTTTTCATAAATTTATAAATTAGCTCTTTAAATAAACTACATATTAAAAATATATATTTTGTTGTAGGTGCATGTTGAGTGTGGGCGAAGTACAAATTACACAAGCATAGATTGGAATACAATCTTAAATAGGCTGAATGCGTCACCAACCTACAATTACTTCAAAGACTCGATTACTAATGCCACCATTGCTGCTGATATCAATCCAAACGGTAGCTTTGCATTGATTACTGCAGATTTTGGAGCTGTTTAACTCTCTGCAATTAAGAACTGGGATCCAAAGGAGTAATTTTTAATAATAATGTACGCGTGGTCGCGTGGATAGATCACTCATAACAAGCAAGCTATTTAATTTCTCAAAAATCATCTTTAAATCTTACTCTGTATCACATTGTTCATGTTTAATTCTCCCTCCGTCCCATAATAAATAATACGTTGGACGTTTTTTTCTTTCTTTCATTATTCACATACTAACTTTGATTATATAGTAGTAGTTTTTAATTATGAATTAAAAACAAATTTTATCTTGAAATATTTTATATTGAAATACGTTGTTAAGTAGGTATTAATAATTTAAAGTAATATCAACCTTTTAATATTAGTAAAAATATTTAAAAAGTTGATATTATTTTAAATCTAGGCATCCTAAAATATTACTAATTTTATAGGATGCCTATTTTAAATATTTTTAAAGTAATATTGTAGGATGCCTACTTTAAATATTAGTAAAAAAAATTAAATTAAAGTAAAAAAAATATTATAAAGTTGATATTACTAATATTAAACAGTGATAAATCAGGGCATCCTAAAATAAAATGACTCAAGCCAATTATTTTTTTTTAAAAATAACTTAATAAATAAATAAAAAGAAAAGAAAACTAGTACAGTGCAAAACTAATCATGTCTCTCATCTGGAATAAATTTTATTTCAAGATATGAATCTCCTTCAAATAAAAGTATGCCTTATCTATCAATAATTATATAAAAAGGAAACATTGACCTCCACTAAATGAATTTGTATTCTGTGTTTGCTTATCCATTTTATCCACGAGGTTCCTTTATATGCATTTATATGCCCACAAAAATGATAGAGGTACCGAATTCCAAACATTATGATGCTTAGTAGATACTAATATCGGATCATTCCCTTTTTTACGATTCTATTAGTTTACTTATAAAATTAATATATTGACACCTTCAATATATCGATAGGTTGTTAGATAAATCGAAAACAAGTTGTGTCAATTAAAAAAAAAAAAGTTCGATCTTGGGCTTCATCAGGCATCAACCATTAGTTTAAACTTTTGATTGAGTTGTCCTCTAAAATAAACTTAGTTTGGAATATGAAACTCCTTGAATAAAGTATGCCTAAGCATATACAACGAGTAAAGCAATAGGGTAGCATAGAACTTGAGCAAGACTAGCTCACAATTAATTATTTTTATTCAAGATGAGAAACATATATGATGAGATCATTTTACCTAATTTATTTTGACAAATTAATTGAGAATAAAATATTATGATGAGATCATTTTACCTAATTCATTTTGACAAATTAATTGAGAATAAATTCGCAATATTATGATGAGATCATTTTACCTAATTCGCAATAAATTCATCAAGTAAAGCAATAGGGTAGCATATGTGAGGAGATCATTTTACTTAATTTATTTTGACAAATTAATAAGGCAACAGAATAAATTGACTTATACAGTGTGTGTTGTGCGTGTACGTGTCTTGAAACATCTTTTTAATTGAGAATAAGTTCGCAATATTGCTTAGCTTTGTCGAAAAACAAAAGATCTATTATTAGATGTGCTTCTAGTGCTCTTGTTCTTAGATCTATTTCCTTTCTATAAATTTGCAGTTGATTTGCCCTTATAGGCATTGTATTATCTCACAACAAATACATTTTTTTTTCAGTGCTAGCGCTCTTCACTATAACTTATCAAAGTTAATTAAGGTATGTAACTCAGTTTGCCTCCTAATCATTCATTGCTGGGTCAGGTTGACTTAAATTATGCGAGGTTTTAGCTCAATAACGTGTATATCAGTATATATAAGATTAATTTAAACCAGTACGTGTAGCATAAGAATGATAAACATAATATCTCATATATTCTCAATTACAAAGTATGTATGTACTTTCTCATCAATTTATATTGCTAAAATTTCCCTTATCTCCCATAGTTATGGAACATCCATATATAGGTGACAGATGGGGATAACTAGCTAACACATTCAAATATTACATACTTGTATTTGTTAATGCACTAGCTTAGCTTGATCCATTAATATATATACTAGTATATAACTAAATTAAAATAAGTAAAATTATTGTAAAGTTAATAATATTATGAAACTTTATTCTAATATATACTACATATTTAACAACATTTTACACAATAACAATTATATTAAACACAATAATTATTAGCGATAAAAGTTAGGAAAAAAATAGTGTAAAAAGTCGAATTATGTTAGTTATTTATTCGATCTATTGTTTAACATGGACTAGAAAACATGGCTTCAACCCAACAAGTCCCATCATCGGTGCTAAGCAACAAGGAAATAGCTGCAATAGAGGAGCTGATGGCAAAAGCAAAGGGTAAAATAGCTTCGGAAGGAAAGGTTGAGGCTGAGGAGCAATCGCTTACTCAAGGTTTTCTTGTAAACCGTACTAAGAACAATGTAACCTTGCAAAAGGTTGGTGAGTGTTTCGGTTGAAAACAATGGGACCTTGCCGAAGGTCCACTAAAATGGAGAAGACTGGATTCGATCCAAGCTGTGTTGGGCCGAAGGTTTCCTGCACAGTGAACACACGTAAACTAGCCTCGGGGGTGTTTCCGAGGAAGGCCCCTCCGATGCTAAAGTCAGTACAATGTGTAAAAAGGAAGACACTATGCAAGAGAGTTTGTAGCTTGAGGCTTTTGTGGAGTATTTCTCAATGCAAGAATGAGCGTATGAGTTGGAATAATCCGTGTATGAGATAATGCATGTGATGTTGTGTCTGTTGTTGTGTCTGATCTCGTTGATCTCGTATGTGATGTTATGAGATGTCCTCTTGAATGTGTTAATATGAGGGCTTTTATACCTCATCATATTTGGAGAGGTTGGGCTTTAGCCCAATTGGCTTACTTTGTGGGCTGACTTTTGACTTTTGAGCAATTGGAGAGTTGAACCTTGACCTTGGGCTTTTAATTGGATCATTTAGTGCTCAGGCCCAATTTTGACTAAATTGGACCCAAACAACTTGCCCCCCAGACCCGATTCGGAAGAATGACGGGTCGGGTTTGATTTAACTCAGAAAAGGAGGGAAGTAAATGATTTAATTGATCCAAAAATTTGAATTTAAACCGTAATTAATGAGATAACAACGGTTAATGATTTGCGGAAGTTGGACGGATAACGGGCGGTTTAATCACAAGACATGTGTTTAATGGTTACTTAGTGGGTACTTAAGAGAAATTAAAGCACAGACTCTTCGTATCCCGTACCTGGAGATATAAACAGAGGCGCGTCATTCTCCTCACTTATTCACCAACACAAACCCAGAATTCTTCGAGAGAGAAACCGAGAATCCGTATCAAAACTTCGCAAATTCCCCCGAGCATTGAGCTTAGAAACTGAGACTTGCCACTACGAACTCGTAAATCGGCAAATTTCGCTTCAGATTAAGGTAAATTCCTTTGATTTCAGTTTATTTTTCTTCGAATTCGAACTCCTTCCCCTCTTCTTTCGACTTTTCTCTTCGAAATAGTCCATGGCAAGAGGAGTTAGAGGTAGAGCCCGTGCTCCAAGAAGAGCAAGGCCGATTCCCGATCCTAGGAATAGGATTGGGACCTGGAATGGTCGAAGGCCGGAGTCTGACCCTGCTGATGGGATTAGGGCGACTCCCCTTTCCTCGGCTCCTCCTCAAAGAACGGATGAGCCGAGTGCTTCTGGACGGGACGATGAAATTCCCGCTGTCCTTTGGGATATCCTCCCTGGGTTTTCAGAGTGGGAGAATGCCGAAGTCGCTTCGGCCATGATAAAGAACCGCCCCTACTCATGGTGGGTAGAGAACGCCGATCAATATCGATTTGCTGAGCAAATTGAGTTGCACTACGGCATTTTTGAAGCTGATGGATATTGGTGCCGAATGCCCTCAGCATGCGATAGAATCCATCGTCCACCCCCGGGGTATGTGGGGGTGTACACGAGACAGCTTCAGTATGGGCTGAGGTTCCCTTTGGACGTTTTCGTCCGAGACTTGCTGATCCATTACAACATTTCCCTATGTCAGCTAACCCCCACCAGCATCCGAAGGGTGATGACATACTTATGGGTCTGCAAGTTCTTCAGATACGTGCCGAACCTGCACTGCTTCAGAAAGCTCCATCGGCTAGTGCCAAATATTCAGAGTGGGCACGGAAGCCATGGTTCTGGGTGGTATCGGATTGAGTCCCGGCCCCAATATTTGACCATGTGGCCAAATGACTCTTCAGACAAGGACTGGAGAGGTCAATGGATTTGGGTTAGGGCACCCATAGATCCGGGCCACCCTTGTGTCTTCAGCGCTCCCCGGTACTTAGCTGAGCCTGATCCCGAAATGGGAAGTCTAGGTCCCCCCGCAGATAACGGGGCGGATCCGAACCTGGATCAGCAACATATCTTCGGCAAGCTGCCGAACCCGGGGGGAAGTGGTCGAATGCAGCATATCCCGGAGACTTGGCTCCCCGATACGCATTACGTTTTCCAAGAGAATATGCTAGCAGCTGTTGGCCTCAGCCGAAAGTTTAAGGATGGTAAGCTTCTTCGGCTGGGGCCGAGGCTTTTTAACTACCTCTTTTTCTTCTCTCGCTTTGCTTTTTTATGCTGTGCCAACATATCTGAGCTAAACTTTTTCCCTTTCCTTTTTTCAGAGCGGGACGAGACCAACGTTGGTATTAACTACGCTCGTCTTGGTGTTAACCGAGAGCGAGTTGTAACTGAACGGGCCCCGTCTATCACTGAGCCGAGGCATAGGGAAGTTCATCTGGACTCTTCCCACTTCCAAATTGAGGCTGTTGCTCTGTATCAGAGGCAGAAGCCTTGGTGGAAGAAGAGAGACCCTTGGTTTCAGCTGCTGAACGAAGAAGCTGAAGCTGCCCGCACAGCCGAAGAGGTTGCACGGGTACTTGAGGCTTGTGAAGGAGGAGAAGGGTCCTCCAGAGCTGCTGAAGCCGAAGCTGCAGCTAGAGCAGCTGAAGAAGACGAGGCTTTGCTGAAAACCTCGGTGAGCTTTCAGACAACTTTTTTCTTTTCTTCTTTTTTTTTTTTTTTTTTTTTTTTACTCACACTCTTCTTCCCCCCTGTCTGTTACAGTCTGAAGAGAGTAACAGACACAGAGAAGGCAAAGCTCCTGTTCGTCCCGAAGATCAAATACAAGAGTCTTCAGACTCAGATATGGACGAGCAGCCCCTTCTGAAAAGGCGCCGAAGGATGGCCATCATCGGCCCTCATGACTTTCAGCAGAGGCCGATGACCATCGGCGTCGCAATAAGGGAACCTGAGGAAGGCAATGGATCGCCGAGGAATCCCCAGCCAACACCCCAATCTCCTCAAAAGACCCCTCCGCCACCTCCTGAGATGGAGGTGGATCAGAGGACTCCCGAACCTAAGGGAGGGGTCCAAGAAGAAATCAAGGAGAGTGCTGCTGAGCACGGAAATAAAGATGCCGTGATGTCAAGTGCTGAAGGCTTCACGGCAGATATCGCAAGAGAGGTTGAGGCTTTCGTCCTCACCCCTGAAGAAGAGGAGGTCATAGTACTTGACTCCTCTGAGAAGGACGATGCTGAGACAACCAAAGCTAATCAAGCTCCATCGTCGTCCTTCCCTTCTTTCCAGACTCTGCATTCTGGAGAAATGGGTTTCTCGGCCCCCCGAATTCCAATCCCAGATCACATCTGGGACCTCATATGGGGTCAAAACCGAGAAGGAGCTGAAGCCTACTTCGGCAGTTTTGCTGGCATGTCCGAAGTAGACAGGGCAAGGATCTGGTCGCTGAAGGCCACTGCTGGGATGGGCGAATCCAGTAGATCAGTTCCTGACCCAGCCAGGTCTAACCAACTGCTGATGATGCAGGTAATTTTCCTTCATTTCCTCCGAAATTCAGCTCTATTTTTTTTTTATTACTTATTTTTTTTTTTGTCTTCCTGTTTTCAGTTCGTGCACAATCAGACTCTCACTGTAGAGCTGATTGATACCCTACAAGATAGGGTAGACGCTGCTGTGCACGAAAGGAAGGTGGCTGAAGAGGAAGTTAAGCTTGCTAAGCTGAAGCAAGCAGCAGCTGAAGAGAAGCAGCAGGAGGTTGAGGAGTACGGTAAAAAAGCTGCCGAAGCTCTGAAAACCTTCTGCGATGCTATGGAGATGGAGGTTTTTCCCCCACTGATGGAAGGGGAAAAATTCCTCCAGGAGCATATGGGAGTGGACGTCTCCAAATTCAAGGCTGCTATTGAGAGCCGAATTCAAGAAGGAACTGCTGCACAAGCTGAAGTGCAGCAGCGTCTAGAGGCTCTTGAAGCCAGCCGAATGGCTGCTGAAGAGTTGCTCTTGGCCAAAGACGTCCAACTCTCAGAGGCTGCTGCTGCTGCTGAAGCTCAAAGAGCTAAATTCCAAGAGGCTGAGGATCAACTGCTGATCCAGAAAGTTGAAGTGGCCCAAGCTCAGACAAAGGCTTTCCAAATTCAGCAAGAGCTGAATGAGCTGAAGGGTTCCTCCTCCAAAGTCGCTGAACAGCTGAAGAAATCCAAGGAAGACTTGGAGGAGACCCAGAAGAAGCTGGCTGATGCTGAGGCTTCACTCAAGGTCCGTGTTTATACCCAAGAGGAATATGAGATGGGTTTCAGAAACGGATTCCGAGTATGCCGAAGACTCTGCCTTCATGCTGAGCCGAAGCTGGACTGGTCTAAATGTGCTGAGTGGGTCCAGAATCCCGAAGACCCTCACATGAAGTATGCAACTCCAGCTGAAGCTGAAATTCTTAAGGCTGAGGAAGCCGAAGAGGAAGCTGAAAGACTGGAGTTGGAAGCTGAGCAGAGGGAAAGGGAGGCTCGGCAAAATGCAAAGCCCGCCTCTTCGGCTGCTGGGGCTGAGGCCACCATGGGACTCAACGCTGATCAGTCTGATCCCCCGGCTGAAGCATAGGAACTCGGGCAGTCGTCTTCAGAATCTTGCGGTTCATCATGTGCTTAACTTTAGACTTGCCGCTTTCTGAGTTTTTTGCCTTGTTTTTTGCTTCAGCTTGCCTTGTCGTACAGCAGTTTTATTTTTTTGCTTATGTACGTATTTCGGCAGCTGTTATTTTCCGCTTGTGGGCGGCTGCCGATACTGAATTATTGAACTTGTAGCTCAAAATTTTTTTTTTTTTTTTTCAGTTGCTTTATTTTTGAATGCTTTACTGTTTCTTTTCTTCAACTCTGCCGAACATAGCTGCACTGCGTGCTTCTTGCCCCCACAGAAATTGAAGTATGACTTTAGTTGAATAAGCAATTTCTGAACTTCTTCAAAATAGATATCCGAAACACAGGGCCAACTTAAGGCAATGCTTCTGGGATACAAGTCTTACTGAAGATTGACTGTCTGAAAGTTGGATATCCGAAACACAGGGCCAACTGAAGGCAATGCTTGGGATATTAGCTTTCTGGGACTAACCTCTTTAGAACAAGTCTTACTGAAATTTGACTTCAGCTGAAAGACCAGCGTTCTTAAAGAAGACGCATATCCGAAACACAGGGCCAACTTAAGGCAATGTTTCGGATAATGGCTCTCTGGGATACAAGGCTCAGTTAAGGCAATATCCCAGAACTGTCCATGGACTCATGTCTTTGGAGAACAGGTCTTACTGATGTTTGATTTCAGCTGAAAGACCAGTGTTCTTTAAAAGACTGAGTTTTGTAAGCCATCTGAAACCCAGTTACCCGAAGGCGAAGGTTTCAGACGAGGCTGATTTAAAAAGGCTGTTATCCTTGATTTTCTGTCTATCTTTGAAAAATGGATACCCGAAACACAGGGCCAACTTAAGGCAATGTTTCGGATAATGGCTCTCTGGGATACAAGGCTCAGTTAAGGCAATATCCCAGAATTGTCCATGGACTCATGTCTTTGGAGAACAAGTCTTACTGAAGTTTGACTTCAGCTGAAAGACCAGTGTTCTTTAAAAAGACATGAGTTTTGTAAGCCATCTGAAACCCAGTTACCCGAAGGCGAAGGTTTCAGACGAGGCTGATTTAAAAATTTTCAACTGTTGCTGTTATCCTTGATTTTCTGGCTATCTTTGAAAAATGGATACCCGAAACACAGGGCCAACTTAAGGCAATGTTTCGGATAATGGCTCTCTGGGATACAAGGCTCAGTTAAGGCAATATCCCAGAATTGTCCATGGACTCATGTCTTTGGAGAACAAGTCTTACTGAAGTTTGACTTCAGCTGAAAGACCGGTGTTCTTTAAAAAGACAGGTTTTGTCAGCAATCTGAAACCCAGTTACCCGAAGGCGAAGGCTTCAGACGAGGCTGAATAAAAAACCCTCAAAGAGTAGATAGAACAAAGAAAATTTTGAAAGGATAAACAGTTGTAAATTTTATATAAATGGCGGCTCCAAGGCCTGTCATTAGTTCAAAATGTACTTACAAAGATTGTTCTGCCCCGAAGGGTTTACACATGGTATTTTTTCAGTACATCAGCATTCCAGTGATTCTTCAACTCAGTTCCATCCAACTGCCGAAGTCGGTATGTCCCTGGCTGAAGCTCATCGTAAATTTCATAAGGTCCCTCCCATGTAGCTGAGAGCTTCCCATGGATTCGGCCTTTCTGAACTGCAGCAGCATTCCGAAGGACAAGATCCCCAATTTTGAGAGGCCTTGCATGGACCCTTCGGTTATGGGAGATGAGGTCTGAACTTATCCCGGGCATATCAGCTGCCGAGAAAGCAAACACATCTCTGTTATCCCGCAGGAGCTGAATAAGTTCACAACGGGTGTTAGGATCAAGGTCCATCCCGATTGTTACACATTTCTCAGCATCTCCTTCGGCCAACTCTGCTGTTTCAGTCTGTTGGTCCATGTCCATTGCTGATGGACTGGACTCTTCAGAATCTGGTCTGCTGCCAATGTCAGCAGGTGTCCCAGTCTTTGTGTTCTTCGGCTGGCTCTCTGAGTCTTTCGGCTCAGATGAAGAGTCAACCTTTTCCCTTTCGGGACCTTTTTCTCTGGGCACTGATCCTTGGGCCGAAGCACTTAGGCCTTTCGGCTTTTTTGTGCTTGGCTCTCTTTCTTTTTCTTTCTCCTCCTCATCCTTGTCGTTATCTGGGCGACTACTGGATGGCTTGAGGTAGTTGCACCTTCGGGCGTCCTTTTGGTTGCCCTGTATCCTTTCGGGGAAGCCGGCGTCTGAGACATAAATCATCAGCTGATGATAAGTTGAGACGACCCCTTGGATCTCGTGAATTATGGGTCTCCCCAAAATCACGTTGTACACTGAAGGAGCGTCGATGACCAAAAACTCAATCATGACGTTCCGGGCTGCCTCATCGCAACCGATGGTGACAGGAAGTGTCACCTTCCCATCTGGATAAGTTGAAGCCCCATTGAACCCGGATACCGGATAGGGTACCGGCGTAAGGTGCTTGGGCTTCAGCTTAATTTGGTTGTAGGCCTTTCGGAACAGAATGTTTGCTCCGCTGCCACCGTCAACAAGGACCTTACTGACGTCGTGGTTGGCCACCGTGGCGATGATCACCAACGGATCCTCGTGAGGGAACGTAATCCCCCGGCAGTCGGCGGCTGTGAACGTCATGTTCGGCACCGGCGACTGGGGAGATTGAATGTCAGCGTTGTTCACCTGGTGAGTCAAAGCTCTAAGGTGACGCTTGTGCTCCCTCCGAGAGTATATTCCTCCCGAGATAACATTGATCGGAGGGAATTTCCCCTCCGGTTTTTTACTGTTTTTCCGGGGGAAATCAAGGTCCTGCCGAGGGTCCTTTGCTAGCCTCTCGGATTCTTTTTTCTCGCGGTGATCCGCGATGTATTTTTTCAAGTATCCCTTCCGGACCATGTCCTCTATCTGGTCCTTCAGCTGGATACACTCTTCAGTGTTGTGGCCCGAAGACTCGTGGAACTCACACCACTGATTTTTATTTTTTCGCTGATACCACTCTGGGAGTGGTCTCGGCTTTCGGTAACTCTGCTCCTCCTTCGTCACACTGTAAATTTTGGCGCGTGGAAGAGAGAGCGGAGTGTAGGACTCGTATCTGCCTGTGTATGAGGCAAACCTGTCCTTCTTTAGGTCGCTGGCCGAAGATGGCTCCGAGGCCTTTGATTTTCCCTTTGCCTTATGGCCTTGGCCTTCAGACAAGGGTATTTGCCTCTGTTTCCCTCCCCCGGATTGAGGTTGGGTTTTTGCTTTATTCCATTCTTCGGCTCGGATGAACTTATCCGAAGCACTAAGAGCTTCCTCCAAGGTCTGCGGGGTATGCATGACCATGAAGTCTAGGAATTTTCCTGGCTGAAGGCCATTCTGCATTGCAAAAACAGCTAGCCCCTGGTCCAGCTGAGAGACGCTTGATGACTCGTTACTGAAACGGGTCAGGTAGTCTCGGAGGCTTTCGGTTTCCCCCTGTTGCAGACCCATGAGCTCTGCGGTAGTCTTCTCTCGGCGGTTTGCCGTGGAAAACTTGCTCCTGAACTTGGAGGACAGATCATCCCAACCTGTTATGGAGCCTTGCCTTACTCCCTTGGAGATCCACGCTTGCGCGACCCCCTTGAGAGTGGTTGGGAAATATTTGCACCAAGTCGCCTCGGATCTAGGGCAAAGATGCATATGAGTCTCATACGAGGCCACGTGGTCCTTCGGATCCGTGGTCCCGTCATATGTGATATGCGACGGTATTTTAACCGTGGGTACGCGCTCTTCTAGTATCCATTGCTCGAATGGTGAACTAGCGGGAAGCATAATGGCCTTGCCCTTGTTCCTGGCCGAAGGGACCGCGCTCCGCCCTCTCAGAGAGGTAGGAGTGGTTTTCGCCCCTGGCTGGGAAGTCTGGGCCTCGGCTGCAGGGAACGTGAGGCGACTACGCACGCTCGGTTCCTGGCCGCCGAGTCGGTCAAGGACGCTTCTGCGAGCAGTCTCAGGTTCCCGGCGAGTAGATTCTGGCCGAGAAGCTGAGCTGCTGCTCTTATGCGCTGCTGGTCTTGAGGATGAGGATCCTTTAAATAATTGAGAGTTCTTCTTCCTCTGTTTTTCATTTTTCCAAGAATCCTCCTCCCACTCTTCCAGTTCCCGGAAGGAAGGAAGCTTCCCACCGTCATGGTCTAACTTCCTCCGCTGACGCCGGGTATGCGGAGGAGTTCGATCACGAGGCGGTGGCATATTCTGTGCCCTCATTGCCTCCATGAGTACTGCCAGCGCTCTTGCCACCTCTTCCGAACTGGGCCCCGTCAAAGGGGTCTCCGGCCGAGTGTGGGCATGAGGCCGTGCAGCCGATGGTTGGCTTCGGGACACTGAATATGTCCTATGATCAGACTGACCCCTGCTAGACCGAGAGTGGTCCGGCCTATATTGAGAGTCATGCATTATAGGAGATAGGGAATCCTCCTTGTGTGATCCTCCCCCCGAGCCGGCACCCTTGGGAGAGTTCCGGTCCGGCGAGGGCGATGGTGTAGGGGTTTTAGGCTTTTCGCCCGCTCCTTGACGGAGGCTTTTGCTCTTGCGGTTCTTAGCCATGGCTGCTAAGACAATTGCAAGATGATCTTGGTTAGGAATTTGGCTTAAAGATTTTTGAAAGTCTTCCCCACAGACGGCGCCAAATTGTTTCGGTTGAAAACAATGGGACCTTGCCGAAGGTCCACTAAAATGGAGAAGACTGGATTCGATCCAAGCTGTGTTGGGCCGAAGGTTTCCTGCACAGTGAACACACGTAAACTAGCCTCGGGGGTGTTTCCGAGGAAGGCCCCTCCGATGCTAAAGTCAGTACAATGTGTAAAAAGGAAGACACTATGCAAGAGAGTTTGTAGCTTGAGGCTTTTGTGGAGTATTTCTCAATGCAAGAATGAGCGTATGAGTTGGAATAATCCGTGTATGAGATAATGCATGTGATGTTGTGTCTGTTGTTGTGTCTGATCTCGTTGATCTCGTATGTGATGTTATGAGATGTCCTCTTGAATGTGTTAATATGAGGGCTTTTATACCTCATCATATTTGGAGAGGTTGGGCTTTAGCCCAATTGGCTTACTTTGTGGGCTGACTTTTGACTTTTGAGCAATTGGAGAGTTGAACCTTGACCTTGGGCTTTTAATTGGATCATTTAGTGCTCAGGCCCAATTTTGACTAAATTGGACCCAAACAGTGAGTATAACTGGTCTGGAAAGCCGGTGACGTCCTACCCCGAGTTCATTCCAGTTCAGGATGAAGAAGTCCGGTTCGAGCACCAAGGACCGCTTCCAGAAGGATCTGTAGGGGGAATTGTTTATGCTGATGGTACTGAGTCCACTTCAAGGAAATGGCTTGTGGCTTTTGACACTCCAAAAAAGAAGGTATTACAATTTTTTCTTTTTTAATTTCCTTAAAATAAAGGTAGTAACACTTTCATCTCTAAACTCCAACCTACTTTTTCATTTACAATTACAAACCCCACTTTCAACACTTGACTAATACAGTAATACTTCCTCCATTACTAAATAATTGCACAATTTTTTTAAGGTCAAAGTTTAAAACACTTTGAACAATAATTTCTCTTTTTAAAGACAAAGTTTAAAAGAAAACATATTCGAGTGAGAAAATGTTGAAAGCGTCTCAATAATAATTAGTGTATTTGAGACTGTGAAAAAACGACAAATTGTACAGTTATCTAGTAATAAGGAAGTAAAATGAAAAAAAAAAATTGTTGATATTATTAAACCTTTTACGGGTCTTATAATGTAAAATCGATCTACAACATCCTTTGAAATGCCCTAGAATATAACAATTGTCGGAATTATATTGTGTACAGGCTTACGTAGAAGCTGGGCCAGCGGGACCAGTTGACTGGAACGTTATCAAAGTCAAACTTGACGCATCTGGATATAGAAGCGAATACGAGGACCCAGTTTTGGGAGGGAAGATATATGCTCTAAACTATGGTTTTGCCCTAGTTGCATATTTCTCGAATTAGCTTATTATGTTATGGTTATTAATCAAATGGCTTGCTAAATGAGGTTCCTGCTGCTTGTGTTATGCAAGTGCATACGCATTTCACAATAATAAGCCACTAGTTGTTTATATTAATAAAATAAAGATCTCTCTTGTAATGCAAGCATGTTTGTGCTATATATGACTAAATCTTTATATTTTGTGATGTGAGTGTGTTGTAACTTGTTTTTTGTTAAACTTAAATTGCTTATATATATACCAGCCAAATTGAAAATAAAGGTTACAATAACATTGGAAGCCTTTTCACTACCATACCCTTAACCATTTTTTTTGGGTTAAATGAAATAATTTGATAATTAAGTCTCAATTTCGCATCCTCCATCCTCATTAATTCAACTTCAATACACTATTTCTTGATTTTTCTTATAATTTGCAACTTTGGAGGGTTGCACGGGAAATTTTTGTTTTTTTAGTGTTATATGGAGAGAGAAAAATAGATATGTCTGTGATGAGGAGAGAGATTAGGAATAATAACAGCTTAAAAAGGAAACAAAAATATTAGTTGCAAAGAATATGAAACATCTATATTTTGGCAAATGATACAAATAATATATGAAATGGTGGTAGGCCCTATTCAGTTCACCTTAGAAAAATAATATTCAATAAATATAATTTCATTTCAGTAAAAATAAATTCAATTCACTAAAACTAATTTCAATTCAGTAAAATAATTTCAGTAAGAAGAAATATAATAGAGTATCAGTAAAAAAAATAATTTCAGTTTAGCAAAATTAATTTCAGTTCAGTAAAAATAATTTAAGTTCAACCAAAATAATTTTAGTTCAGTAAAAATTATTTCAGTTCAGCAAAAATAAGTTGAAGTGAACATGATCGTAGTATACACTGTATACTTCCAACGTTCTTTTTTTTTTTTAATCACAATGCTTAGAAATAGACACTATTCACATACTCCTTTAATATATAAAAACTTCTCTTGATTCTAGAACACTAAATTTGTTAACACCTCCCTCAAATTGGAGCATTAAGATTCCGAATTTCCTATGCCCAACTTTTGAAGAATAAGCATAAATCGAGCCTTTCCCAACGCTTTGGTAAAAATATTTACTATATATTCTATTCTTGTCTGATGCCATAGCAATTGAAATTGCCTATCTTTGATAACGTCTCTCACAAAATGACGATTCAGTTAAATGTGTTTCGTTCTCCTATGTAACACCGGGTTTTGAGCAATGTACGTATCTCAGAATAACTATAAAAAATGAGTTGCATACCTTGCGCATAAATGATGCACCCTTTATAAATTACCAAGCAATTTCTTTAACATTTTAAATTACAAGTCATCGAACGATACCCTAGCTGCTTTCGCAAAGGAACAAACGAAATATTGTATGTTGCTTCTTGATTTATCAAGACACCAAGAAAAAGGTAAGTAACACAAGCCACCCTGTCAAAGATATCCTAGTAAATGGACAATTAAGCTTCAATGCACTTTCATATCTCATATTTCATATAGTAGTATACATGTATATCAAAGTAGAATACCTTGACAATTCAACCACAAGGCACCCATATTTTGCCATATCCTCTTGCACCTTTTCCATTTACCAAACCTAACTTATGATTATGCTCGATGGGAAACTCTGAAGGTGTTCCTCTCAACAATCCCGATTTGATCAAGAAGGTACAAAGAACACACAATATGTACGTAATAGTGATCGTGCATGTTTCATTTCTTTGTCATATTTGTTGGAGTATGCAATTCAATTCCCACATGAAAAAAATAAGAAAGAGAAGACTTTCATATATGTGAGATTGTGAGAGCACTCTATATTAATATGAGGCATTTTTTTTTTTTGAAACATAATATGAGGCATTTTGAAAAGATGTCCGAAAACTTGTGGTGGGCTATAGGATGCAAACTTAGAAGTTGATAATAACCTCAATACTCGTTCTTGCTCTCAAAGTATCTAAACTTGGCCGGATTGACTTGTTGTAAATCGTGTTGTGTTAAATTTTGCCAACTCTATTATTAATGGGTAATTCTGTACCGCATAGTGGCAAACTATAAACTGATCTTGGATTATATTCTTGGAGGACTGTACCGCATAGTGGCAAACTATAAACTGATCTTGGATTATATTCTTGGAGGACCATTATTATCAAAGAACTAATCCGTAGTAATAAATTACAAATCCTTATTAGTGGCAGGATTAATTCTCCAATATCAAAGAACAAGATACCCATTACTAATTTATTTTGAAGAATCGGATGCAAGACTAGTTAGAATTTGATTCTTTTCCACAAATACTGCGGAATACTATACTCTTTGACTTCATAAAAGTGTGATACTAAATGCATTTGTTCTTGAATTTTTTATAAACAGAAAATTCGATTAATTTTCACAACAAGAAAATAGCCAATTACCGACGGCCAAAAACAATCCTGCAGTCCTACGGTGCTCAAAGCTAAGACGTGCTAGTTGATGAGCTACCTCGCTCCAGTCCTCCACTGCTTCCCTTAAGACACACTGGATGTTCTTCATCCCATCTTGTTGAGCTAACTCGTCGCAAACCCTTGCATAGAATTTTTTTTTTCTTTATTTTGTGAGTTTTCTTACAGATCGAGTATGTGTAATAGCGCATCAATGCATCATCTAGCTAGGAAGTAGCGTGCTTAACAGCTAGATAAGGGCTCACTTGGCGATAGCTAATTAAGCTTACACGGGTTATTAGGCAAGCAAATGTGAATTTGAATATATAAGAGGATTATGAACTCATCCTTATTCAGATTTATTATATGTCGTGTTTAGATACATCTTTCATTCCAAGAAATGCTAAGTTGATTCACATATATTTCTTACTTCGGCCTGATTAAAATCTTTTGTGTAATAATTAATTAAAGATCAAGATAAGCCCTTCAATTCCAATCAAGTTCCAATTATTGTTTATACTCGTACATTATTTAGTGAAATGGGCCAAATGGCGACCAAGTCATCACAGTTTCCAGTTATACTCTCACAAGAAATAGAATATGTGATACATATAATTTTGTAATGCAGTTGACAAGACATTAATTTCAAGAAAATAACAATTCTATGCAATAATTTTCTAATGCATTTACTCCTTTCCTTGTTCCAAAATAATTGACATAGTCATCAAATTTTGTACGCATGTCGATACACTAATTTGACCTAATTTATACTTCGTATATAATTAAATATTAGTAAAATTTTACAAAAAAAAAAATATATTATGAAACTTTATATTAATACCTACTCTTATTTACTAACATATTTTATGATACTAAAATATATATAATTATTACATTAATAAAAAAAAAAAAGTATAGTCAAAGTTACTGCTTGAATAGTGAAAAAATGTCAAATATGTCAATTATTTTGAAATGGAGAGAATATTTATAATCTTCATCATTCATTAAGATATTCTTATTCTTCTTTTTCTTTTTTTAATTTTTAATTCAAGGCTGGATCATTTTAATAAAGTATGCATGATTATCCTCATATATTGTCAGATGTCTATAAACAGACAATCCTTTTGTGCTCCGGCCTTACATATCCTCATATCATAACCTGTAACATACTTTCGCAAGGTACGCTCTCTCTTTCCACCGCTTATTTTGGCCCTTAGCATTTTTATTATACACTCAAGTATCAAATTTATTGATATATGCTATGAAATTTTACTCATTTAAAAAGTGCAAATTAGTAATATTTTAGTCAATGTTTATGTTTGACTGATGTTGTTAATTACTCCTTTCCTTTCACAATGATGTTCCTGTTTGAAATATTTTGACTTTTGAAAATAAGAGAAAATCTTCTAAATTTCTCTCAATCTATAAGAATAAATATAGTAATATGGGGTCTAGTTTGATTCGTCTTGATAAGTACATTATTAATATCTAACTTTTATAATTTTTGCTAGTGTGAGATTAAAAATATATATGCGGTCTAATATTTGCAAAAACTTGCATCGATTTACGTAAACAGAAACATTATTTTGAAACAAAGGGAGTAATTCAAATGTACGACATCCCAACAGCACGACTTCTCTTTTGAGTTTGGACCAACCTTAATTTTTACTAAATGTAAAAGATCGTTGAACTAACATTGCATGTTCTATTTGCTATGTTTTTTTTGTTTTTTTTTTGTTTTGTTTTTTTTGTTATATATATATATATATATATATATATATATATATATATATATATATATATATATATATATATATATATATATATATATAAGTTATGCGAATATATTGTTTATGAATGTTATAATATTCATTTTTGGAACATATATGAAAATCTACACTGTACCACATCGGAAAAATCTTAGAATAACACATGAATACAAAAGAGTTACAAAAATAAAAAGATGTCTAATCTTCAATTAAAATGAAAAGAGAAAAAAAAAATAATAAATAAACAGACTAATTAAATGACTAAAGAATATTGTGAGAAATGTAACAGAATTTGTAGCAATGGCATCGGCGCAATTGGGTGAGAAAGAAAAGGCAGTGATGGAAGAGGGAATGAAAGACGCAAAAAATTTCATTATGACGAACAACATCAGCAATAATCAGATTCAAGCAATGGCAGTGGTCTCCATAAGAAGCAGTTTCGGACAACGAATGAGGTCGTACAGAAACCATAGTTGGATTGGGACTTTTATGGCGAGGCTTCCTGAGTTCATCAACGGAGGTGATGGGGCTGTGTTTGCGCACAAGGGCTCTAAGGCGGCGCTGTTGTATGGTCTCGACCTTGATGCATCTCCTCTTGCTCTTGGATGGATACTGGCTTGGTCCAAACCCGACACCCCTGGTGAGCCTAATCGGGTATGTATATAAAAACTCCCAATTCAATAAAACACTCTTTTTGCGAATAACTACGTTACAAAATTTAATTTTAAATTGACTAACTTCAAAACTAAAATTGTCCAAATTTTAGCTAATGAGGTCCACAAACAATGTCCACAAAACGTATTACCTCTAATAATTACACTCACTTAACCTCAATTACCCCTATTTTAGGGTTTTAATTAAGGGGTAAATTTTCAAAATAGCAATAAAGTGAGTAGAATGGTTTTATTTCAAGTAAAATGAGTGTAATTTAAATTAATTAGGTGTAAGATCAATAAATGTTGGATCTACAAGCTAAACTTTGGACGAATTCTATATAAAGGTAGTGTTATCAACAAAAAAAAAAATAAAAAAAAAAAATAAAAAAAAATAAACTTCGTATAAGGTAGTTATTAAAAAAAAGAAATTAAAAGGTAGATTATTGCATAAACAAAATAAATAAAATAAAAATAAAAAAACACTACCCAACCTAGTTGTTTTTAAATTATTTTTTTTAATGCAATTAATGAGCTACTCTCTTCGTTTCAGTTTAACCTAATATGATTTTTTTTTTTTTTTTTTTTTGGTGCAGGTGTATGTGCAAGGTGGGCTACTAGAGAGGCTCTTGAAGACGGATTGGAGTGAAATTGAACAAAAACTCGATAAGTCGAGCGACTATAGTCAGCACTGGGACACTGAATCAGGTGCAACATTAACTGCTCGTATCTCGGACGATAGCGAGAAGGTGGCTATTGTCAATTCAACCTTCAGTATCAACAGCCCAGGGGGACCATAAGTTTCCCTATTGCCTATAATCAAGAAGTATACTTCTTACTTCAAAACATATTATGTATAATATATAATATTCCGAATAACACAAAAGACTTGGTGTACTAAGTTGTGAAAAAAAAAAATGTACGTATGTCCCTCGCATTGCTTGGCTTGGCTTTGCTATAAACTGGACATTCATTATCTTAATTAAAATTTATGATAAATCCTTATGATGATTTTAAGAGTATATATGCAATGTTTTGATCTTGTTGCTTCTATATGTTTTGTACTTGAGGCGTCGTTTGTGATGACCAAGGGTTGGTTAATTTGATTATGTTAATCGCGTTAAGACACCACTGCGCGTACACATATAAATTTAAAACCTTAGAAATAAATTACCAGATTTTACTATTTCAATCAAGAATATTTGGTAAATGAAAAAATAAAATTACTGAATATGTAAGACCGTAAATAATACTATGTACATGGGTGAACTCCTATCTGGTAGGAACTATCTCAATTCCCACATTGAATCGACAAGAAGTAGTAAATTTTATCTGATCATCAATATAATTCCCATTCCAGCTTAACTTGCTCACTTTATTAAGAACATTTTAAATTGATTTAAGAGGTCAATTAAATGTTACATCGGGTCTATTTATTATAAGTTTTTTTTTCTTCTTCTTTCACCTCTATGTACCCTATAGATCAGCTAGTGACCCACCATATACTTTCTCTGTTTTCTTCAAAATAATGCAACAATTCGCATTATACGCTTGTCAATGTGTATGTTATTTCAATCATTAATATATATTATTACTAATATCATATGTATATAATTTGTATAAATTTGATATTAATAAAGTATAAATTAAGATTAAATTAACAAGATCCCACATGATGATTATATTTTTCCTTAACTATAAATCATTAAAACTAGTTAAAGTGGAATATATGAATAGTGAGAAAGTCAAAGTGTTACATTTAAGAGAAAATGGAGGAAGTATATACAATAGCTCTACTAGTGCAAGGTTGTGCTGTGGTGGTTTTTGCTTCTAACAATGCTAAAAGAAGGTTTCCTACGTTTAATTCTTTATCCTTTTTTTTTTAATCAATTATTCAACGTTGTTATACTACATACTACGTATTGCACAATTAATGAGCTCCTGGAATATAAATTCAAAATGATTTTAGGGCAACTAATCTAATTGATCCTAATATAAAATCAAAATGAACATAAAGGTACGATTCTGACAAATTTTCCTATATTAATAGATGTCCATCCATGTCATTATTACAAACCTAATTAAGGGGCATAATTGTTCATATCACGCTAAACTATGCGTGTTTATTCTTAGTTCTTCAGGTTGTCATGCACATCATCAAGTACACCACAACATACATATTAATTATATGGCCATATATATATGAGTGTTAGTTGGCCTAGTTGGGTGTCAAGAACCCCTCGCCCCCTGTATAACTAATCGTGGAACCAACAAGAGCTACTTTCTCACTATCATCTTGGATTCCAGCCGTTACCATTGCACCTGATTCTTTGTCCCAGTGATGGCAGTAGTCGCCGGACATGTCGAGTTTCTGTTCAACTTCATTCCAATCCTTGTTCAGGATTCTCTCTAATGGTCCGCCCTCCGCATACACCTGAAACAAGGGTGTACCACTGCTGAGTGGAAGAGGTAATATCATAATCATGCGAAAGATAATCTTTACTTCCTTCATGCCAAAACACATAAACTACGTTTTGACTTTAATAACATTCATATATTGACTTTGACCCTTTTTTTTTATGAGACAGCTTTGACCTATTTTACAAATAACAAATGTGATTATGTAAAAATGTACACTGTTGTTGTATGATTGTATTAGTATCAGTCTATACAGTTATTTTCCATGTATAATTAGAAATATAAATAGTCAACGTTATGAACTAACAAACATAACAATAAAATTGTAACACTTATTTTGAAACAAAAAGGCTATTATAAACGTAGACACGTAGTAAAAGATTATTTCTAGCTAGGTGCGAGAATTATTACTGTGAGTACCTTATTAGGTTGATTAGGCATATCGGGCTTGGACCAGGGAAGGAGCCATCCAAGAGGACGAGTTGCGTTGGGCTGAAGACCATAAATCACCGCCCCCTTGGAGCCCTTGTGCACTACCACAGCCCTATCACCTCCGTTGATTAACTCGGGAATCCTCACCATGAAATTCCCCGTCCAATTTTTGCTTTTGTAATACCTCATTTGTCGGCTGTGAGCGCTTCTTATTGTACCCACTGCCATTGCTGTAATCTGATCATTGTTGATGTTGTTTGTCACAAGGTAGCTCTTTGCCTCTCTCAAGACTTCATCCACCGCTGCCTTTTCTTTCTCAGGCATTGTCGCAACGTTTTCTCGTACCTGTTGCACCGATGATGCCATTGCTAGCTAACTGATTTCTTTAACCTATATTAAATAGTCGACCGATTAATCAAGTTATTAATTGTACTTTCGATCCATCTATTTTACTCTGGTTGCTTAAGACATGGTTGCACGAATTGGCGTACATTATTACAGCCATTTCTTACACAATCTACTTCAATTCCGTTCATTCTGTTGGTTGATTGCATACAATAAAATTTCTGTTCTCAATGTTTAGTTACAAGTATACTATATATTTTTGTTTAGAGAAAATTATACCAAAGACTAACTATAAAATGCTATACGTTACTCTATAATGAGAATCTTAATCATTAATCTGATACTAATAGCGACGGTCAACAATATGATTTTGTCATGAATTTCTAAATTAATATCATTCTAAATAATATATGTACTTGCTCACTTTCTAATTACTCATAGTTGCAACACTTTTACGTTTGCACTATTCACATAATATAGAATTTTATTAGGCTCGTCTTAATAATATTTTCAAAATATCCTTATAATAAATTTTATTTATTTAACTATAAATTTAAAAACTTAACAGTTAAATAAACTTTGCTTAAATTAGGTGTGATTAGGGGATTTTGCTCCCACCAATCGGAATGCGCCACGTGGGCCAATCAGGTCCTGCCAAGTGTCCCCCAGTTGGAACTGTCAGGGCTTGCCACGTGGCACACGCTTATTCGTCCACCTTGGACCTATTATGTCATGACATGTGGCATACTCCATGCCTAATGGAGAAACCGGCCACCCAGGCCCAACTTCCGAGGGAAGCCCAATCAGCCCTAGGTTAACCTAAACCTAGGATGGGCACGTTTCCCAAGGTTATAAATACCTCCCTTAATCCTCATTAAGGGGGAGGACGAAAACACACATTAATTACACACAGTAATAACCGGCTGATCTCGCTAGCAAAGCAGATTACCTACATTAAACACTCTCACCTAGAGAGACCCAATCACTTTAATTTCCGCATTAATTACTCCTTAATCAAGTACTAACTTGACCGTTGGAGGCGGAGCTCCCACCACCAGGAGTCTCCGTTATTTTGCAGGTACAGGCGTCCGGTTCCAGTCTCGGAATTGTAACTCTCCCGCAGGATATCAGAAAACCCCGAAACATTTGGCGCCGTCTGTGGGGAGAGTACTTCTGAGATGGCATCCAAGTCTGTACCGACTCCTGAAGAGAGGCGTCCCCTAGACGACCCTCAAGTTCAGTCGGACCATGATACCCAGAGTGAATTTGAAGTTGAAGCTCACACAGCTTCAGACGGGACCCTAAGGGCCCGACGTACCCGTCATACCGAAAGGAGGGAACGGGAACATCTTCAAACAGGAAGCGAGCCAGCAGGCGCACCGCCTGTTCGGCAACACCCGACTGATGGGTCTGCTCCCATCACAAGGAACGAACTCATGACCTTCATGAGGGACTTCAAGGGAGAGATTCAAGAGTTGATCAACAAGAAGCCGCCTGCTCCAGTCAAGGAGCAGTCGGCTAAGAAACCCTCCACTTCACTGAAGAGGAAGTCAGTTCAAGGGCGAGAGGCGACTCCTCATCCTAAATCTAGGAAGCGGGATCCACCTGCCCTTGATTTCACAAAATTCCGTTTTCCTACAGGAAATAGGAAACCTGTTCGTCATATTCAGGCGGACGGGTCGAAGCAAACATTCACAGACGCTCGGCTACTGCTAGAGCAGAAGAAGAGTGACCGATTGTCAGAGTCGGCCTCTACTTCAAACTTTCAAGACAGTCTGCGAAATGCCTCGATGAGGCATACTCAGCCGTATCATGAGAGTCAGACAGGCGGCACCTCCCGTCAGTCCGGCTTTCATAGCGACCAGGCGGTACCAAACTTACCATTTGTGCTGCAACAACAGTATTTTTTGCAGCCACCTTCGTTTGGTGGACCTGCAGCAAAAAACGTCCAACCTATGGACTGGCAGCTACGGTTGCTTAGACTTGGTGAACAGCCGTCGGCCTTCTCCAAGGAAATTACTGAAGCCGCTCAGCCGACCAAAGTGAAAAATGTACTAGTAGGCGCCTATGACGGCACTACTAACCAAGAAGACCATCTGATGGCATTCACCAACCTGATGTACCTTCAAGGGTTGGATGATCCCACTTGGTGCAAGTGTTTCCCAGCGACTCTCAAAGGAATCGCACAACAATGGTTCGGCAACCTGCCGACTGGTTGTGTAAATAGCTTCAGGACGCTTGCTTACTTATTCACCTCCAACTTCGCCATGAACATCCCTGCGAAGAAAACGACCCTTGATTTAGGAACAATTTAGCAGGGCGAGAAGGAGGGGCTTCGTTCTTACATCAGGCGGTTTAACCTGATGAGAATACAGATTCAAGGGTTACCGGATGAGGTAGCCTATACTGACTTTTTCAGAGGTCTCAAAGACGGGTCTACCTTCAAATTTGATTTGGTTCGAAAAAGGGTGGCGACTCTTCAAGAGGCCTTGATTGAAGCAGAAGCCTATATACAGGAGACTGATCTTTGCACGGTAAAACAGTCGGACGGGAAAAGGTTCGACAAAAGAGAAGGACGACAGAAACAGTCGTCAAACAAAGATGAGAAGAGAAAAGAGGTCTGGGCGGCTGATTCCTCTAAACAGCCGGCCCAGAAAAAGAAAAAAGAATTCAAACCATACTCCCCAAAGTATGCGTTTAACAGGGATAACCAGTTTATCCTAAAAGAAATCAAGGGACGGATCTCAATTGAGAAGCCGGTCCCCATGAAGGGTTCTGCAAACAACCGGAACCAAGATAAATTCTGTGCTTATCATGATGATGTTGGTCATCACACCAATGACTGCATCAGTCTCATGCGGTATCTGGACCGCCTGGCTGAGCAAGGTGATCTTGACACTTATGTCAAGAAATCTACGGGGAACACTTCCTCAAAAAAGCAGTCGGCCAAAAAGAATCAACAGGCCGACAGCTCCGATACAGATGATGCAGTCGTCTACACCATTGCAGGCGGCTTCTCAGGAGGCGGCCCCACTATTAGGGGCAACAAAGACAATATCAGGCGGTTAGATGTAAATTCCGTTCACCAAGAACGGCCGTCCAAATATTCATTTCCTGAGATTGTCATCACTAAAGAAGATCTAGGAGGGGTAAGAGGGCCGCATGACGACCCTATCGTTATTGAATGTAAAGTGGCCAACCAGAGAGTTGGCCGAATCCTCATAGATACCGGAAGCTCCTCAGATCTCATCAGTAGCAAATGTCTGTCGAAACTAAAATATCAGACTGATTGCATACATCCGGCCTCCCACCCTTTAGTAGGGTTTGGAGGAGGAGTCGTCCACCCACTGGGACGAGTGGATTTACCCATCCGCCTGGGCGAAAAAGGGGAAGGACGACACATGGTAGTCCGGTTCCTGGTAGTAGAAGAACTCTCGGCCTACAACATGATTCTGGGTCGACCAACCCTGAATAATTCCAAGGCTGTTATAATCCCATCTCTTATGTTGCTCAAGTTTGAGAGGGATAATGGAATAGTCGGCTCCCTAGGGGGAGATCAGAGGATGGCCCGAGAGTGCTATCTCTCGGATGTCAAGCCCACTGTTATGGCCACTGGGTCAAACGGTGAAAAAAAATACCTTGACAATGTCAAGGAGAGTGCGCTTGTTCAAGAAGCAGGCGGCAAGAAGAGAAAGGCATCCCAGACAGGGGCGCAAGAAAAGAAAGAAAATAGCAATCATTGGCAGAGGAGCGGTCGGATGAGTTTCGCCCTCAGCCGGCTGGTGAGCATACAGACCTGATCTTAGACGACTCACGTCCTGATCGAACAGTCAAAGTTGGGACGACTGCTCTGAGAGACCTTGGTGACGACTTTCACAAACTATTGAAAGAATACAAGGAAATCTTTGCATTCGAAGTCCATGAAATGCCAGGCATTAGTCCTGATCTGGCGGTACATAAACTGGCTGTGGATCCAAAAAAGAAGCCGGTACGGCAGAAGAAACGGAACCATGGCGAAGAAAGAAGTCAGGCGGCAGCCGCGGAAGTGAAAAAATTACTTGATGCAGGGTTCATTCGGCAATGTTACTTCCCAGACTGGGTTGCAAATGTGGTGCTTGTTAAAAAGCCGAATGGCACCTGGCGAATGTGTGTAGACTACACAGACTTAAACAAGGCGTGCCCCAAAGACAGTTACCCTCTGCCTAAAATTGATAATCTGGTCGACTCAACAGCCGGCCATGCTTTGATGAGCTTTATGGACGCCTACTCTGGTTTCCATCAAATTCCTTTATGGAAGAAAGATCAGGAGAAGACGGCCTTCGTCACTGATCAGGGGTTATACTGTTACACGGTCATGCCGTTTGGTCTTAAGAATGCCCCGGCTACCTTCCAGCGAATGATAAACACTGTGTTCTTTGATCAGATTGGGAGAAACGTCGAGGCATACATTAATGATATGATTGTCAAGACTAAACTTCAGAAAGATCATCTGTCGGACCTCCGAGAAACTTTCGCCACACTCAGGCGGCACCATGTCATGCTCAATCCCAAGAAATGTGTATTTGGAGTTGAGTCTGGGAAATTTCTCGGATTCCTTATCAATCAGAGAGGAATAGAGGCGAACCCTGAGAAGGTGCAGGCGGTCATTGACATGCAGTCGCCTCGTACCATCCGAGAGGTTCAGAAGTTAACAGGTTGTCTGGCGGCCTTGGGAAGATTTCTAAGCCGATCAGGCGACAAATGCCTATACTTTTTCCAGGCAATTAAGAAAAAGGCAAGGTTTGAATGGGGGCCGGATGCTGAGGCCGCCTTCCAGAAATTGAAAGTTCACTTGCATTCCTTGCCGAGGCTGGTCAGCCCTTTGCCCAAAGAAGTACTCTACATGTACCTGGCCGTCTCTGATCATGCGTTAAGCGCTGTTCTCCTTGCTGAAAGAGACGGCTGTCAGCTCCCGGTCTACTTTGTCAGTCACGTACTGAAAAATGCCGAGTTGAGGTATCCCCTAGTGGAGAAATTTGGTCTTGCACTCTTCATGGCTG